GAGGGAGGGGTGTTGAGGAGTGGGAGAGAAACTGGGGGAGGGATGAGAGAGGGAATAGTGAGAAGGAGAAGTGAAGAGGAAGGGGTAATACACTCGTCCTCATCTTAAAATAACTACAGCATGTAGGTTCCTGCAGAAACAACAGGAGGGAGACAGTCGGAGGGTGAGACATTCAGAAGGGGGTGGGGGGTCCTGGTTTAGTGTTGACTCGTGTTTCGTGCTACTTCTCCGGTCCCCTGTGTGAATCCTTGGCTGAGCCACCACTGTATCTGGTGTGTGTGATGTGTGTTTACGTTAGATGTGTGTGTCTGTCTGCCTCTGAGTTTGTCTGCACATATGGTTTATGTGTTGCTCTCCGTTCATTCGTACGCTTTGTGTGCGTGCTTGTTGCAGGCGTGCGTGCACACATGCTTGCTCTTGGCAGCAGATACAGCACGCACACTCATGATGGAGATCATCAGGCATTTCCTGCCGCTAGGGATGTGGGTTTTTTTAGAGGGTGAATGGTGGGGGGCGGGGGGGCAGGCAGGACGGGTGAGATGTGAGTGAGGAAAGAGAGGAGAGGTCAGTGTGAAGGAGAGTGTGAGTGGGTGGGGGGGGGGCTGAGGGTCTGTATGTAAGTGTGTTAGTTGGATGGAGTGTGTGCGCAGCTACAGCCCAGCTCAGCCTAGAGTTCAGCTCCGGTTTTTGAGGGGTGCTGGTGTTAATTTGTGTGCAGGCATGTTGGCCCCAGTAGTTTGATATATGTGTAGAACTTTCCACGCCCGCCCCCCCCCCCCCTTGGCACACTTAGGAAAACTCAAGCTTGCAAACCCAGGTCTGTTGAGTTTGGATCGGCTCTAATTCTAGCTGTTCAGTGTTACTGCCTGTTGGTCTATATTGCACAGTATAAGTGTATAAGGCATGACCTTATAACTTCAGTTTTTTTCATTAAGTATCAGTTTCAGAGAATGTCTATGTACAGTTTAGTTTGTGCCTATGTTATGAGTGTGTTCAGTAACGCTTCTGAAGTAGAATAAATTGTGTTGTGTTTTTCTTGTAATTGCTGTGAAACAACATCAATATGCAAACATAAGTTTCTGTTTTTTAACTCCATACTAAGAGAGCCATAATTCATGCCAACGTTTATTTGAGTCCAGTGGCCACTTCAATATGATGCTGTGTGATGTCAGGTAATGTTTCATGTTTCATTGACAAAGTCAAACAGACATTTTCTATCCTGAAAACAACATAAAAACACCTCACAGAAGACTTGAGATGTCACTTAGTCATCAACTTGTTTTTTTCCCATTCTTTTCTTCTCCGTTTTTTGTATAAAAAGTTGTGCCTTGTTGTGTGTTTGATGTAAGAACAATAATAAGCATAAGAAAAAAACAACAACTTAAAAACAATTGATGATGCGCTGTACTTCATTTTCAGCATCAAGAGGAAAGAACAATGTAAATCGTTATTGAGGAATAAAAATAAACCTTGAAATAAAAGGAGAAATGATAAGAAAGGTTTTTAAGACTGGACTGTCACGCTCGGCCCCCTTTAGTCTGAGTGTGAGGGGGAGGACCAGTCAGCAGGATCTGACTCTGGTTTGTTAGAGGACAGAAGTTCAGATATTATTCTGGGTTCATGCCATGAAGGGTTAAACAAGTCATTTAAAAAAAGCACTCATTAATGTGTGTTCTAGGCTGATGGAGCTGCAGGTTGAGTTAGGGTGGAGGTGGTGTGGAGGAACGAGGCTGGTAGTTGGCTTCTGCTCGGTGTCACTCAGTCTCTGTGGACCCCCCCCTCCCATTTTCCTCTCCTGGCCTCACATACACTTTCTCCATCTCTCCCCCTTTCTCTGTTTTATCCCCTCTTTCCTCTTATCTGTCTAAACCTCTCTGTGGAGCTCCCCCCCCTCACCACCTCTCTCTCTCTTTTTCTCCCCTCCATGTCCCCCTCCCTTACACCCCCCTCCCCATGCTGTTTCAGTGCTGCTGCCTGTCTCTTAGCAACAACTGCACACCCGTTAGAGCTCAGTGAGTGCTTTTACAAACACACCCAGGAAGACACACTTATTACACACACACACACACACACACACACGCACACACACACACACACACACACAGGGTCTAGTTCCTCATTCAGGGTTGATGCTGGCAGGCCTGTGAGTCTGCAAGCCTTTGTGGTGTTGAGATATATGGGGAGAGAATAGATATGCTGTACAGCTCCCATGTACAGGATGATTGTTGCTCTCTGTGCACGACAGGCCAACTGCCCAAACTGGAGAATGACAAGTCCCCCTCTCGGAGTTCTCACTGGCATGTGTGCACATTCACTCTGTGGCGTAATGTGTTGTTGCTTTTCCTCTTAGCTCACAAACTTTAATATGCAGATGAGGAATATACAAGATCAAACATTTTCAAACAATAGTTATATGAAAGCCTCTCTTTGTGAAACAGATTCAACAGATCATCATGTGGGAGCTGTGCTGCCTGTTATCACAAAGACAATACTACACCACTGACTGTTAAAGCCCCAGAGCCATGCAGTAAAATGCACCAAAACGCTTGTTGCTACGTATGACGGTGAATATGTTAGAATGGCAACTGATGGATACCGGGAATGTTTGCTTAAACAATGAAGCATAGAGGGAGCGTTTGATTGGCTGGTATCTAACCTCTGTCAGAATGCCCCCCTGCTGAGCACAGTAGAAGGATATTTGCATGTGTGTCTTTGTTTTCTGTGTGTGTGTGTGTGTGTGTGTGTGAGACATGTATGTCTTTATGTGCAAATCGATGTGTGAGAGTGTGGGAGGATAAAACTGTGGGGGCACATTTGCATGTGTCTGTGTGTGAGTGAGTGACAGTGTGAGTGTGTGTGTGTGTGTGTGTGTGTGAGTAACAGTGTGCGCATGTAAGTGTAAGCACATGTGCAGCAATGTTTAATTAAAGCATGTGTTCTCCTCCTTCCCTCATACACCGGTCAGATGGAGCCTTAATTAACGAATGCTGTTAATTAGACAAGAGAGAAAGTGAGAATGGGAGAGAAGACAGGCAGGGAGGGAATGGGTGAGGGGGTTAAAGAAAGTATATGTTGTGTTTTTGTGTGTGTGTCCCAGTTGTGTCATTCCTCAGAGAAGCAAACGTTGGTCTGCTCCATGTGTGCAGCTCTTAACTCTACTACAGCTAAACTCTCACACGCCCCCTCCTTCTTCCCCTCGGTTTCCTCCCCTCCTCTCGCCTCAACTTTTTCCTCCCTCCTTTGCCTCTCTTGAATCTGTCTAGCTCTGTCTCTCCCTCCATTCTCCACCCGTTCTCTATCTCAGTCACATCTTTACCCTCCCTATACACTTCTTCTGTCTCTCGCCCTCTTTCATACTTTCTCACACATTCATGCTCTTATTCATGTGCCTCCCCTCCTTGTCCCCCTCTTTCTCTTTCTGTCTCCCGCTCTCTGTTCTCCCTCCCTCCTAATCAGAGCCATATGTTGGAGAGGGAGGGAGGCAGAGCGATCTGAGGATGAACAGGATTGTGTTGTATGTGGTACGGTGTTGGAGCCAGCAGTGCGTGTATATGCGTGCAAGTGTGGCACGCACTCTTGTATTTCTGTTTTAAATGTGAGTCACGTGTTAATCTAAAGAGCACGTGTGGTCCAGATTTTGTAAGACTTGTGTGTGTGTTCTTCTGGCAGACTTTCCTTCAATTTCTCCTCTTCTCTGGGTTTCTATAATCCCTCTATAGTCGCTGTCGTCCTGTCACCTTCATCTCTCCATCCTCTCAACACCTCTCTTCATGACCTCTCTGCCTCCCCCTGGTGGCTGCAATTATTCACACATTCTCATGTTTGTTGCACCCTCCAAGTCTAGAGCTTTGTGATGCATTTCAATCGTTTTTTGTGACGTGGCATGCAGTGTGTGCTTTTTACACCACTATTCAATTGTGGAATTGGACTCTGCTCACTTCAATATTGTGCGTTTAAAAAAGAAAGTGGGGCAAATCTGTCATTTCCATACATAATACACAATATATTACTCCATATATCTCATCAAGTAGTTTTATATAGTGATTTATAGACTAGATAACGTCGCACTGGCTCACCCATGTTCCTATTGTCTGCGGGTAAAACACAGCTGAATTGCTAACAATAATTAGAGTTTTACGCTTTATTGCAAGTCATCCTCCAAAGTAATAGCGTCTGATGTTGGATGGTGCAGCCCTCACCAAAATACTGATTTTAGTCTGGTTTGATATATGCTGTGACATCATGTACTAATCTCTTATTCTCTTTTCCTTTCTGCTCCACCCTCCTCCTCCTCCTCCTCCTCCTCCTCCTCCTCCTCCTCCTCCTCCTCCTCCTCCTCCTCCTCCTCCTCCTCCTCCTCCTCCTCCTCCTCCTCCTCCTCCTCCTCCTCCTCCTCCTCCTCCTCACAATTTATTGTATTTCTCCAATCATAATTTCTCCCACTTTCTCTAACTCCCCTCTCACTTCCTTTGTCTGTCTGTCTGTCTGTCTGTATTTCCGTGTCTGTGTGTCTGTCTGCCTGTCTGTCTCTCACTCTATTAACCACGGGCAAAGTACAGGCAGAGGGGAGAGAGAAGTATGTGAGCTCTCCACTGCAGTATTGATGACCCAATGATCCCCTGCAGAACAGAGCCAGTCAGGCAGACAGAGTGAGGCTCAACTCAGAATCAGAATCAGAATCAGCGCCACAACCATTCGGTAAAAGCAACTGATTGTGCCGGGTATGAATGGTAAATGTAATGCCTCTGTGTGGGTGGCACAGTTAATAGATTAGAGTGTGTTACGAATTAGTTGTGTGGCCCGTTGCCAAAAAATCTTTCACATAATCACAATTTCATCAGTGTTGCAAATGTATGTACAGAGTTGATGCCATACAATGACCAATGCAACAAGGAAATGTTAACGTATTTGTGGACTTCCTGTGCTTTTAATAATATTATTTTCTCTAATAATCTATTATAATATAATATTTTGATATATGTTTTTATTTCTCTCCTCAGGGCCATTGAATCAACTCTCCTGTTGTTAGAACTACTCCGTCAGCTACCAAGAAGAAACACTGATTTTGATTCAGCAAGACTGTTCACTGAATGAGTAGCGTGTCAGATCACCTACATTCAGGCCACACTGGGGCTCCAGTGGGCTGTGGTGAGACTCGAGCTGAGGAAAAAGCGTGTGTGGGGGAGCTGGAGGGGCTAGCCGGGCCTGAGCTCTGGACCAGGGAGCTCGGGCTCCAGGAGGGGTCCCAGGATCCCTCTAACGATGGACTGGCATCGGTGATCCCGGACCACTTTCCCTCCTCTCCTTCCGCCCTGGCCAACGGCCTCCACCGGCAGGGAAGGCTGGGGCACAGCCGGCGCAAAAAGACTGACACTCACACTGAGACACATGTGTTGGCAGAGACACTTAGAAACATGCAAACGCATATAGACACGGCTGTGCATGAAAAGGTTGTTTCGCATGCAGGCATGGATATCCATCCACATACGGGTTCTGTAGGTCCAAAGCTCTCCGGAACTCTTACACCTGACGCCATACGCACAACTTCACCTCAACCCCTGTCTGTGGCACTTGGCAATCATCCTGCCTCGATCAATCAACGGAAAGCCCCGGTCCTCAATGCAGAGACTAAAAACCCCTCCACTTTTTGTCCAGTCCCTGTTGGCCCCACCCCAAACACAGGGTCCTCTGCTCTTCCTGTGGAGACAGAGAAGAAGTATGCACTCCGCAGCTCCGGACGTCCACGCTTCCCCTGTCACCTGCGCAAATCCTCCCGCCTCCGCCGAGGCATGGAGGATGGGGGGAAAAGAGCAGGGAGGGAGAGGGGAGGAGAGGAGGAGGATGAAGTATTAGTGGAGAAGATCTGGAGGGTTAAAGAGGAGGAGGTAGCTGTTGGAGAGAAGGAAGTGCATTCGTCTGTGGAGGCTGTTCTCCCCACAGCTCCCCCTCCTACAGACATCCCTATTGCTCTAACTGTACCCAAACCTGCTCAAAAAGCTGTACCCAAACCTGGGCCCAGACTTGGGCATAAACCTGGACCTAAATCCAGGTCTAGGCCCCCACCAAAAGTCCAGAAAGCAGCTCCTAAAAGTGTGAAACAGCGTCAGGCAGCCATGGCTCAACGTGCAGCTGCTCAGCTTCCATTTACGAACACATCAACCATCGCTGCAGCTTCACTAGCCGTGAAGCAGGAACCTCTCCCCGATTTGGGGGGATCAGGCTCCAATAACCGAAGACGTGGGCGTTTCGTAGGTGTAAGTTAATTCATAGTTACTACTTGACACGCATTCATACCATGAATCAAAAAGATGTTTACCCAAGTTAAATGTGCATATGTTAAATGTTGATCTCTGCTTTACAGGTGAGGAAGATTGTTGTCAAGGTGGCTCGTATTCCCGTTAACCTCAGCCGCCGACAGAAGAGCTACAAGATTTCCAATATGGAGACAGTGAGAGATAAAAGCAACGACTGCGGCGTGGATGGCTCAGTGGTGGCTCGAGAACCGACCGCACTTCTCCGAATGAAGAACAATGGAAAGAGCGTTATGGTGATGTTTCCTCCCGGAGAGATGCCTGTTATTCTCAAGCGAAGGCGGGGACGACCCCCCAAACAGCCCCCGCCAGGAATACCGGCAGAACTTCTCAACACCCCGAACGCTGGTGGTATAGGAGACCCGCCCAAGAAGCCCCAGAGGCGGCGACGGACTAAACTCCCCGCCCCTTACCCTTCCTATGTTAATGATACTAATGATGTGAAAACAGAATATGGGGATGTCCTGTCCAAACTGGCCTTTTTGAACCGCCAGCCCCCAGTCACTGGCCGCTGCTCTCCCCCCCGCTGCTGGACACCCAGTGAGCCAGATAGCTTTCATACCCCTCTGGAAAACCCTGGAATATCAACCTTGCTCCACCGGCTCACCGGCTATAAACGCCCCCGAGGTGGCAGAGGAGGGGGCGCTGGGAGAGGGGGAGGAGGAGCAGGGGGGGTTGGGGGGAATGAGCGCAACAAGAGCACCTTCAGTGACTTCTTTGAATCTATTGGCAAGAATCAGAAAATGAGCCCCCTGTCTGAGCATGGATTACCCAAGAAAAGGGGAAAGGGTAGGGGAGGGGGCGCTGTAGGAAGTGATCCTGGGGCGGAGAAAACAGTTAAGAGGAGACGTGTGAAAAAAAATGGGGCATTTAAAGGGGAGGGAATGTCCATGGGGCAGGAGTGGCCCAATGGAGCAGGTGGCTGGGGGGAGGGTGGTATGGACAAGGAGAAAGCTCTGGGTGGGTATCAGTTCTGTGGATCTCCAAGAAGAGGCTTTTCCTCCTGTGAGGTTGGAAGGGGAGGGTCCTACAGCAGCCCGGGAGGGGGCAGGGGGGTGAGGCCTGCAGGGGAGGACTCACAGGGCCTGTTTGCCGGATATTTCAGGTCCCTCCTCGACTCGGACGACTCGTCAGACCTGCTGGACATTGCCTCCTCGCAGTCAGACCCCCGGAAAGCTTCATCCACCCCTGGTTACGAGTCATCCAGTCCAGCTACCAGCCACAGCTGGTCCCCTGCATTCCCCAAGTGGAGCTCCAAGGGGGCAAATTCTGGGGTGGAGGGTTCCCTGCACACACATGGCTCCTCAGCAAGGCCTCCTCACAGCTATGGCAGCCTGGCCCAAACTTCCCCCACCACTTCTACCTATCCCAAATCCACTCCTCCATCTCTCTCACACTCGCCCAGCTCACCCCATCCTTCCTCTTTTGGCCATTACTCCTCCGGCTACTCCTCCTCTTCTCCTGCGGTGCCACAGAGACCCTCAGACTGCAGCTTTGCATATGGATCTGGCAAGGCTGTCGGTCAAATGGGTTACTCTAACTACCAGGCAGCAGCCAAAAGAGGTTATGGTGGATATCCTGCAGCAGGTCATTCCTCCATGGTGCGGGGGGAGTCAACAGGACCCACATCACCAGGAGGAGGGTACATGTCTGTGGCCAAAAGCAACCCCTTCAGCTCCACTTCATCTCCAGAGGGTTACAAACAGTACAACTCCAGTCAGTGGAGCTACAGGTAAATCACTTGTGCCGCCTGACATCATAAAAAAGTGCTCCAAAAATAATACAATGTAATGTCTATTAAAGGACATTTCTGTGTGGTCTTTTCATACATGATATAACTTGGGGTTGAAGAGAGAAATGTTTTTACTAACGAATTAAAGTCACAGCAAGCTCAAGAAGACTTGAATTACTTAACATGTCCACCATGTGCTAATTACCAGTCAATACCTCTCAAATGTAACAAAAGTGAATATATTTTGGCTTAAAAGTGTACCGTGTTTGTCAGGGAAGGAATTTATACAGGGCTGCAACAAATCCTCCTTTGTATTAAAGCTTATTTTGCTTATTTTCTGGATAAATTGTTCGATCGATAAATGTCAGAAAATAGTAAGAGAGTCCCAAAGATGTCACTTTTAATATTAGGTTAAACACAGAAAAGGACATTTCAATATAAAAGACACTTGAAAACAACATTCTTTGCTATTCATCCTGAATTACTAACAATTATTACATTTTTTAAATAGTTGCTTTTTTTGTTAATCAACAAGTTAGTCAACTAAACATTATAACTCTAAATCGATATTAGTAACATGTTTAAATCGTCTTTTCATGTCATCTTACTGATCGTTGGAACTGCAACAAAGAGCAGTGAAAACTGAAATATTTGCAGACAATCGTGCAAACATATTCCTCGAGTGTGTTTGTGTGTTTTATAATTCGTGTTGCTTTTTTTTTTTCTTTCAGACAAGGTTATGGCGGCTGGTCAACAGACGGCTTTGGGCCTCAGTATCACGGCTACAGTGAATATGGCTCCAATGAGTCCAAAGACATCTTGGATATCTCAAACTACACTCCCCAGAAGGCCAAGCGACAACCATTTCCTGAAATTCTCTCAGAATCCTCGTCTGACTCTTCACACCTTGGCTCTGCGGCCACTGGCAGTGGACCCAGCTCCACCTGTGGCACCTACAAACTGAGCGAGGCTCCCTCTGTCAGCGGAGAGGGGGGGCAATCCAGTCTGTCCAGCCTGGAGAAGCTGATGATGGATTGGCATGAGAGTGCTTCAGGACCTTCGTATAACTGGAGCCAGAATGTGCTCTTCCAGGGCGGGGGGGCCACCGGCAAACCTGGTCGTGGTCGAAGGAAACGGACTGAACCACTTTTAGAAAAAGAAGGAGGGTCTGGTTTACTCTCCGACTCCCCGTCCAGCCCGTCCCCAACGCCTACTCCTGGACCTAAGCGGGGAGTTGGGGGACGGGGCAGAGGGTCCAGAGGAGGCAGAGGGGGTTTGTCTCCATGTCAGAGAGAGCGGAGGGCCAAAGGCAGAGGCAAGGCTGCTGCCTCAACATCTGGAGCAGTTTCTGCTGGAGGTCCAGAGGGGCTTTTCCAGGAGGGGCTGGATTATTACAGTGGAGACAGTAGCAGCCTCTCTCCCCTGGCCAACCCCAATCCTGCACCCCAATCCAGCTACCTCCAGGACCCCTGTGAGTACCCCTCCCCTTACCCCTCCACACCCTCCTCTGAGGAGCGATATCCAGCCTTATACCCTGGAGAGTCCTCTTCTTCCCTCTCACCCAGTGTCTCCTCTCCCTCTTACCCTCCCAAGCCAACACCTCCTCCCCCCCAGACGTACCACCCCGTCCCCTCCAGGACATTCTCCCCCTCCTGCTCTCCCTCACCCCGCATAACTCCCCTCTGTGCCACTTCACTGAGTCCCTCTCAACGCCCCGCTCAGAAAGACCCACAGTTCTCGCAGTATGACTCTCCCAGCTACTGCAGCTCCCCCTACTGGTACGGACAGACGTCGCACAGCGGCAGCCCCAGCCCGCACTCCCACAACACACACTCAAACACAGCCGCGCACACACACAGCAACCCGCACACAAGCCCCCATGGAAGTACACACAGTAATGCGCTCGCTAGCCCCAATGCGAACACACAAATGAATCCCCATGACACACATCTTAACAACACACAGCCCCACACAAACGTACACACCAACACCACCTCCCTCCTCCAGTCCCACTCAAACCCCCACACTAACAACCACCCCCATCCCAACTCTCACCTCTCCTCCCATACTCACTCCAACCCCAGCACCAGCCTACGCCAGGGCCCCATGCCTCACTCCCCGTACCCCAAACTGGCCCTGGACTCCTCGCCCCATCAGGAGGACACTGGGGGCTTCTCCTTGTCCCACCAATCCTATTTGGGCATGGGACACCGCTACCCCTCCCAAGGAGCTCAAGGGGGGGGGGTGCTGTGCCAGCTCCTGGACACAGCCAACGATGACAGCTTCAGCGTCACCAGCCTGTAACAGCAGGTGAGTTTATTTAACCTTCAAACAACGAGGGCATCCATGCAATAAAGACAAACACTAATAGAAATATCAAGAGTGATTAGCTGCGTTCACACCGCAGTACTTTTCCCACTTTAGTTCCGATATAGTTCCGAAATGTCGCGTTCACACCAAAAAGAGCCGGAACTAAAATTAGTTCATGAGAACCTTTTTTACCCCCTTTTCCGTCCCTGCTAGAGAGCAGGGACTTTCGTGGGAGAAAAAGGTTCCTATGTCTGATTGGCTGGGCGGAATGCAAACCACGCCCCGTAAAACTCCCAAAAAGTTTTGTGAAGCCGCCATTTTATTATCCTCGCATTAGCATTATTAGCATTAGCATTAGCCCAGCGCACAAACACAGAGAGACTAACTTATGGCAACACAAAAGAAAACATGGGAGCGGTGGAGATGAGGAGGTGTCGGCGTTCTGGCGATTTACTCGGAAGGCTTCAGTAGAAGCTGCTGGGACTGAAGCCAGTCCCCAACTCCGGGGACTTCGGGACTTCGGGTGGCAGTATACGCCGTGAAGTTGTTTGCGGCATGACAGTTGTCACTGTCACTACCAGATCTGCAGCTCTGCCCGATCTGTACTGCGCATGTGCGAGATGGTCCGCCATATTGGACAACTCCGGACGGCAACTCAAGATGGACACTTGACACAGTGGCTTTTAGCAAAGCTCAAAAATAAAACGAGAGAGATGAGTTATTGTTATTACAACGTGACTTCACTATTATTTAACAACTCTTTTTATGGGGTTCTTTTATTTGGGGTTAAGTACATTGTCAGAATAAGTGAGAAATGAATTTAACTTCTGTTAGACAGCCATATGCCATACATTTTTGCATATATTCACAGTAAATATGTATTCAGTATGATAGCTGTCTAACAGAAGTTAAATTCATTTCTCACTTATTCTGACAATGTACTTAACCCCAAATAAAAGAACCCAATACAAATAGTTGTTATAATAGTGAAGTCACGTTGTAATAAGAATAACTCATCTCTCTCTCGTTTTATTTTTGAGCTTTGCCAAAAGCCACTGTGTCAAGTGTCCTTTCTGGGTTGCCGTCCGGAGTTCTCCAATATGGCGGACCATCTCGCACATGCGCAGTACAGATCGGGCAGCGGTACGGATCGGGTAGTGACACCAGTAAACCCAAAGCAGAAGAAGAAGTGACGTCAGCGGCTTCATTTGGCTAATCCTCCCCCAGGGACTTATTCCGGTGTGAACGCGATCTGTATTTAGTTCATGAGAACCAAAGAGTTCTCATGAACTAAGTTCTCATGAACCTTTGTGGGAAAAGTACTGCTGTGTAAATGCGCCTTTTGATAACTGAAGAGTACCATACTTTTTCATTATTTGATATTTAATTAAGTAAATAAATATCTAGTAATGATCAGCGTTACAATTTGGTGTATCTATTTTGATTAATTGAATCATTTGTGAACTCTTTTCTCACATGATTGTTTAAAAAGCATTATTACTAGTTGTAATTAGAAACACTTTTAAAAACTGTTTTTTTTTATGGAAGTGGAAAGTCTGTAAACTCTTACTGAAGCACAAATACGTATATCAATAGAAATGGAAACAGCAACAATACCACAGGGCAAATTACTTTTAACACCAAATCAAACTACAATCCACAAATGGAACAAAATTCTTACTTATAGTAAAGAATGTTTGCCAAGTAAAATAATATTAAGATTAAAGAATGCTTTCATTTTACTGTCAACAATATCACTCTATCCTTCTTCACCTCTTTATCTCTCCCTCTCTCCTTGTGTTTTCATTTCAGGTGCATTCAAACCAAGCTTTTTCAGATTTGCAAATGTTTTTTTCTTCTTTTTTGTTAAGGAGACTTTTTGTTAGAGAATGTGAAATGAAGGGCGAGAATTTAGCTGCCAGCTTTGGACAGTAAAGCTTTAATTCTCCAGCATTGACAATCAAGATCAACTTCAAATTAAACATGCATGCACGACACACACACACACACACACACACACACACACACACACACACACACACACACACACACACACACACACACACACACACACACACACACACACACACACACACACACACACACACACACACACACAGAGAGAAAAGCATGTGCAGATTAATTCACTACCTATACATGGACACATACATTCCTACATGTGAACACTCACTCACACTATGCTGGAGTAAGGGAATGGCCAAGAGGATCTGCCAGATGAAAACCAGATGCTGATGGACAGAGACAAACCTTTTTCCTCTTCCCTTCAAGTCCTGTTGTGATTCATAAACAACTCCATTTCCCATAAGTCTGTATCCCTCCGCAAATCTTTCTGGTCCTGTTCTTTACATCTGCAACACTCTCCCTTCTTTTTCTGTCCTCTCTCAACCTCCTGTCCTCAGCTAAACCAGCAACTGTTCTGCACTACACTGACCCTGCATTTCTGTCTTGTGCTCTCGCCTGAACCGCATCTGAGCCCAAACCAACTTTTGAAATACCATGAGCCTAGCAAATGTCCCGCTCTGTGCACTCCTTGTGTTGTGTCCCATAAGAGAAAAGTGGACTAAAGCGCTCTCTGCTTTTGAAATACCAGCATCTGTACATATGACTCCAGCTCCAAGCCAGAGGCCCCCTGATCACTCTGAGGGTCCGCCATCAACATGCCCTCCCCAGCGTTCTGCCATGGTTTCTCTGCTCTGGGGAGGGGGAGAGAGAACTGCAGCATGGAGACCCAACATCCTGTGTTTTGCTGTTTTAACTACAAGGGAAAGAGACATCGAAATCACACACCGGCCCCAAAGAGACTTGTTTTTCTGTGTGCAAACGTGAGACAGAGGAAGGTGTGTTTAGCATGAATGCAGTGATGCATGTATTTGTGTGTATGTGTGCATTTATGTTTGTGTGAGCGTGTGTGTGTGGGGTCAAAAGGAGTGAAGCTCTCCAGACACCAAAAGTCTTGGCGGGGTCTCATTCTTTCTTTCACTCTCTCCCTTCTTTTTTCTGTGGTCTTGTGTTGTTTGGTGGTTTTTGTGATGAAAAAAAATGTATATCTGTCTGTTACATATCATGTATGTATCTGAGGTGCAAAATATTTAAATACACATTCTGTTCTTGCCATTGGTAATCTTGTCGATTGCAGACTGCTTCTTTAAGGGATTATGGGAGGTGTGAGCGTGGCTGTGTGTGTTTGGGCTTTGCCCAGGCTGTCTGGGTCTGCGCGAGAGAGAGGGTTCAGGCAAGGACACGATTCGACAGGGAGGGAAAGGGAGGGGAGGAGAGGAATAGATGGTGGGGAGAGGAGGATGTGTTTGAGGGGAAAGAAAGAAACCAGACTAAGGAAATCAGGAAAGAGTGTCAGAGATGTTGCCACTGAAACAAAATGTACAAAAAAGTACTGTTTCAACATTCCTCATCCAAATAAGGGAATAGCGTAACAGCGTAAAGGCTGGTGGTACCAGAGAGCTGACAGGAAGGGAACCCACGCTCATTTCATGTCCTCACAGGAATACTTGCTATAATAGAATAAACATTATACATCTGCAGCTTGTGTGTGTGTGTGCCAGACAGACAGAGAGAGTGTGAGAGAAAGGAAACAGATGGGGGGGAGTTTACAGGCTGCATTTTGTGTACAGTTTGTCAACAGGCTGACTAAATAGACTAAGACATGGCCGCAGGAAATGTGTTTGCTCTGTATGGTGGAAAGAAACACATACTGTCAACAACGCTACATGACAGACACAGAGGAAGTGCATGCAGCTCTTTCAGACTTTTCTTTTGCACTATACCAAAATAACAGCATCTCATTTAAATGGAAATATGAAATGATGTGCCACATTTACCAAATTAGCCATCTAAAACCCACATTTTCCTCATTTTATAGGATGCCATTACCTGTAAGGATTCTCAATGGTCAGCAGTATTCTAAGTAAAATGTCCTACAATAACATTTGTAGTATTATCACAGAAATGTACTAAAAACACTTTAAAGGTTTGTTATACAGCAGAATTCTCCCTGTCAGTTGTATTCTTATTATTTATTGCTGATCAATAACATTTAGGGATCGGTTTAATGTCGCTGGTCAAGAGGGAGCAAATGTTAAAAACGTTATGTTCTGTTGTTATAAAACCATGTTTCCTATTTTATAAACGTATTATTGGTTTGGAAGCCTGTGTTAAATGTGAATATCCTAAGTTACTAGTAGGTCTAGCTGTAAAATAAGGACTAATATTTACAAACATCTCAAAACTGTAGCAACTTTAAGAACAGTCTAATAAAGTAAAAGTAGCCTATAGTTAAAATAATTGTGTATTAGCCACAGAGTGTTAGTTTATTTAACAAAAGTATAATAATAAGTAGCCTAAACATGCAAAATAGACAAAAATAAGTACTGAAAGCTATTTCTTTCATAAATAACATGACTTATTCAAATACTATTGATAATAATATAATCAAATTAAATAGGAGATATTACAGTCACCGCTTATTCTTGTGGAAAGCTATGCGTCGCTTAGCAACAACTTTAGCAACCGTTCTTAAATATTTATGCGGAAAACTATCAATCAATCACCATGACAACTAGCCTACTGTCTCCGAACTTTAGTCTCTTTAATTTAACCCATAAAATACACTTATACCATATTGCTTTAGCAACATTTAACGTTGTTGACCTGTTTTCCCATATGAACGAGTAAAGTTGATTTTAAACTGTAGGCCCTATGAGTTATTTATGGCCTAAAATAAAGCAGTCACTGTGTCAATAAGGCCACCGTTGACCGAGGAATGCGCTTCGTCATCACAACTTTCCCCTGGGGGTAAAAGAAGAAGAAAAGGGAGGTCTGGCAGGAAAGAAAGAGGAGTGGTGTTCTCCTCAGCAGGGACTTTCCTTTGCTTGCCCTCCGGTAAAAAAAAAAAGAGTTGAGTCACAGGGCACCGAGCCGGAGATGTTCCCCGGTGTCGCCACGGAGGAGGAATGCGGGCCTGTGCGCGGTGGTGCTGGGGCTGCGGTGGTCTTCCCCTCCGCTCGGGAATACTTCTTATATTAATCCCTCCTTTTATCCTCGCACTCCAACTCATGGTAGTCGGGCCACTGTTGCCTGCAGCCCCGGGGGAGGGGGTGGTGGACCCGCAGGAGTTCGCCTTCTCCGTTATCAGCATCGAACCGGAGAGGAACCCACGTCCACGGGGATCCCCGTCCCTGCGTCCGGGCCTACAGGTGGATGCGGAGAGAAAGGAGGGGGAACAGGCGTATGAGGATGAAAACGAGATGCATTCACGCCAGGTAGGTGGAGAGATAGGCCTACATCTGAAATATAATCAGTGCTGTCTATAGTTATGTTCATTTACTCAAGTATAGCCTACTGGACTTAAATACAATGTTCAGGTAGCCTACTTTACTTCAGTATTTTCAATTGTTGACTACTTTGTACTTCTACCCCACTACTTGATTTGAGGACTTTTATAGTAGGCTATTAGCCTACTGGTACTTCTACTTTTACTGAAGTACAAGAACTGAGTACTTTAATGTTTCAGAATGTTTACATTATGGAAAAACAGATAGACTGAAGACATTTCTAGAACCCACAATCTATGTATCTTTACCTACAATATAAGGTGAAGATTTACTCAAACAACTGCCATGTTGCTTATCTTCACGCTAATTAAACGTAATTGCACTAAATGCACTGAATGTGAACTGAAAGTAAGCAGGGGACAATCAAAAAGAATACCCTGCAGCTCTTTGTGCAGCTTTTTGCAGCTCTGTGAAACAGGTGAGGACAGCACTGACCCCAGATCAGAGGTGACAGCTGTCCTCTCTTTCTGTCTTTTCTCCTTTAGTTGCATAAAGCTCCAACTTTCGTGTGTGTGTGTGCATCTGTCCTATCTGAAACTCTTTCACTTCACTCGTCATCCCCTCTCTCTTTCATTCTCTTTTCTCTCACTGTCTGTTTTTCTGCCCAAGGCTAAACTCTCTGACTCATTCTAGTGAATCATCCCCCCCCACTACCCACCGAGGTTGCCATGGTGGTGACCACAAGGTTCAGTCTGAGTTGGGTGGGGGGCTCTTTGTGAGTGTGTTTGTATGTTACACTGCCTCAGGAAAATATGTAACCACAGCAGGTCTGAGGTCAGAGGCTGTGACCTGCCTCCTCTGCACTCATACCTGGGGCAGAGGGTGTAGGCAGCAGCAGCAGAGACCCACTCACACTCATTACTGTCATTCCTATTCATTATTCAGAACGCTTTACAAATTCCCATGAATCTGTTGGTAATATCAATATATTGATACCATGTGCGAATTTTCCCAGACTGGACCCAGAAAGCTGGATCTGCAGGCGTGGGCATCAGACGAGCCGTCCTTCACTGCAGAGCTCAATCGCATCATCACATTCATCACCAGGCCACAGGTAGACTGCACAGAACATCCCCTCAAATACTGCAGCGCTGTCAATGTGTGAAATGTCCAAATGCACTTTAAAGGTTCCTACAATACCTAACACAATTTTAAATAATTTGTATTCACTGTACATGGCATATTTTTCCTGTTTTTTTAACATTTCATGATACTTTACTGACTGCAGAATAATAAGCAAGCAAGCAAAACTTTATTTATTAAGAACATCGAGGTGCACAGTGTGCTGCACAGTTTGTGAGATACTTTACCATAAAAGTTGCAGTCAGAATAAAACATATTGTAAAAAATAAAACCTCAGAGATAAATCATTTTAAAAGACACATAAATAATACAAGTGAGTTAAAACCTCAAAGAAGATAATAATTTAAACCAACAGTTGACCAATACAAAAAACCAATAAAATAAGTATAATAAGACAGAACAGCAGCTTTTCAATCTGAGATTAAATACAATGTAAAGCTTTAAGCAAATTTGGTAAACCTTATTACAAATACAGTTTACTACAGTACCCTTCAATGGTTTTGGATTCTGACCCTTTAAATAAGTCTGTTTGTGACTCCTCGTCACAGGGTGTATATCAATCAATCAATCAATGTTTATTTATATAGCCCAATATCACAAATGTTACATTTGTCTCAGTGGACTTTACAGTTTGTACAAAATATCAGTATGACAATACGACACCCTCTGTCCTTAGACCCTCACATCGTACAAGGAAAAACTTCCGGAGAAAACCCACAGTTTAAAGGGAAAAATGGGAGAAACCTCAGGGAGAGCAACAGAGGAGGGATCCCTCTCCCAGGACGGACAGACGTGCAATAGATGCCGTGTGTAAATTGAAAAGATAATACATTTGCAACATAGGTAGTCCAAATGTTTGGAAATGCATGTGTGTATAATAGGAAGATGAATCCACGAGGATATCCATCCAGGACCCATGATCCAGGACCACAGCCACGACTCAAGATCCAGGGCTCGCGATCCAGGACAGAGGAGCGCAGGATTATCCATGACTCCGGATCCCGGCGTATATAGACACCAAAAAGAAAGACATTTGGGGAAGCTGGGTTAATCGGAACATGAGAGTACACAGGTATAGACAGAGAGAAGGAAGAAGTAAGATGTCCCCCGACAAACTAAGCCTATATCAGCAAACTAGGGGCTGGATCTAATCAGCCCTAACTATAAGCTTGATCAAAAAGGAAGGTCTTAAGCGCACTCTTAAAAACGGATAGGGTGTCTGCCGCCCGAACACAAACTGGAAGCTGATTCCACAAATGTGGAGCTTGATAAGAAAAGGCTCTGGCTCCCATTGTACTTTTAGAGACTCTAGGAACAACCAACAACCCTGCATTCTTGGAACGCAATGCCCTAGTAGGACAGTAGGGTATAATGAGTTCTTTAAGGTAAGATGGCGCCTGCCCATTAAGGGCTTTGTAGGCGAGAAGAAGAATTTTAAATTCTATCCTGTGTTCTATAGGGAGCCAGTGTAAGGCAGCCAGAACAGGAGTAATGTGGTCCCTTTTCCTAACTCTGTTAGTACACGAGCCGCAGCATTTTGAATCAGCTGAAGCGACTTGACTGACTTCTTGGTACACCCTGATAATAAAGAGTTACAATAATCCAGCCTTGAAGTAACAAATGCATGGACTAGTTTCTCTAGTATATGACAGTGAGATGTCAGCACTTTAACCAAAATGTCCTTTTTAAGATTGAGTAATTTGCATATGCTTGAAAAAGTTAAACTTTCCAGAATTTCATAAGAAGAAAAAACATATTATTGAAACATCAGAGAGAATAAATGTTGCAATCTTTGTGTTCATTTTTTTTAACTCTCAGATGTATCTTGTGACCAATTTGTCGGGGCGGGGTCATGACCCTCAGGGTGGGAACCACTGGTCAAATATGTTGGGCCCTCCCTGAAGGTCTCCAGCTACAGTCCTGCTCACGGGGGATCTACTGTACAGAGACTGTAGCCAGGAGTAACATCCTGCCAAGCCCTAAGCGTAATCAATAAAAACTTCACTTTTTCAACTCCTTCACTTCACTTCTACGACTGCAGACTTCCAGCGTGGAGGTTAACACAGCAGTAATATGATCACTCAGGCGCTGTCAGCAGAAATCTGCTAAATCTGAAGCCAGAGAAGACTTTCGGTTCCACACTGCAAACTCCCATACAAGACTTAAGACCTAGATAACACTAAGTGCTGAGGAACTGCAGGGAAACGTTTAAAATCCAAAGTATATTGTGCTGATTTAGTTCTGTAAATATTCAATTACTGCAAGTTAAATCAGAATCAGGTGTTCTTAAAAACAAATACAACAAATGATGTGATCAACATGAATCTCAAATTTCAGGTTGAAATGTACCAGAAAACCATTTGCTTTACCTACTTGACACCTCTCTCTGTCTGAAATGTTCTCACACATTTCACAAGAACCCACTTTCACACAACTTCTTCTTTAACTTCCTCTCTCTTTAGTTGTTGGCTAATTCTGGGTAAGAACTGTTTTGAAAACCTTGTCCAGTACTTCTCATGTGACCCTCTACTCTTTTGTCCCGTCATCTCCAGCTGAGCTGCCCCATAGTGTTGTCTCCAGGTGAGACTAAAGCCTTGCAGCCCCCTGCAGACCCCCCCCGCTGGCTGCTGTGTGCTGAGGACTGGCTCCTTCCAGCTGCAGATACCCCGTGTGTTGCGTACTCCTTTAGGTGAGCCCATATGTCTCTACACTATATCCATGTCTCAGTGCATGTGCTGGGATGCTTATACATTCATATCAGCTGGCAGAGTGAGAATAAACAATGCATATTTAATCATGCATGCAATCATCTTCAAACCCCCCCTCTGCTCGCTGGCTCACTGTCTCCCTTTATTTGTCTTTGTCTCTTCAGTATGGATGGAGGAGATGCAGACTTTCTAAAGACAGTGTCAGGGCTGGGATGTGAAGTACACAGTTTTGATCCCAGCAACTCCAAAGCATCTGGTGGTCACCTTGGCAACAGTTTGGTCAGTAACCATGACGACAGAGGGGTGGTCCACCGGCACAAGATGTGGCTGGAGTGGCGGGCTCCAAAGAGGCGCAAGCAGAAGACGAGAGGCAACCGAGGAAGTGTTTCTCAAACACTGGCAGACATCATGGCTGCACTGGGACATCACACAGTAAGACACACACACACACACGCGCACACACACACACACACACACACACACACACACACACACCACACACACACACACACACACACACACACACACACACACACACACACACACACACACACACACACACACACACACACACACACTCACACACACACTCACAGACACATGGATAAGTGGAGAAACAGTGCAGAGAACATACCTTCATAATAATTTTACCCCAACATACCCAGAAAGCTCTCTTACTTCTACGTTCCCATAGCAACAGGGCTCTGCGCCATCCCTGGCTGCCATGGCAACAATTAAAGTGAGTGAATCACACGCTGGTTACTTCTTGCAGCCACAAGAGGGAACTATATGCCTACAGTCTGGGTATTTGTGGATTGACATAATAAAAAAGCTCAATCAATCGATATATTACAGTTTATTTATATAGCCCAATATTACAAATGTTACACTTGTCTCAGTGGGTTTACAATTTTTGAAGAATACAACACCCTTTGTCCTTAGATCCTCACATCGGACAAAGAAATACTCACAAAGAAACCCCACAGTTAATGGGAAAAAACGGAAGAAACCTTGGGGAGGGCAGAGGAGGGATCCCTCTCCCAGGACTGACAGACATGCAATAGGTGTCATGTGTATAGATTAATAATATAATACATTCACAACATAGACAGTCCATAGAAAAGATAATGTGTCTTTATACAAGACAAATTTGTCATGACTTCTATATATTAAAATGTAATTATGTTTGAATTTGGCTTTGAAGTATGTGTTTTTACTGATTTGTGATTACAAAGCAACAGGAATGCTTTGGAAAGCAGATAGGCTGCAAAACATGAACAAATCATGATGTTGTCATGATTAAAAATGCATACAGTAACATGACATTGAGTAAGGAAAATATTTGTACAATTCTTGTGTATTCCAACACACCCATTGCAATATCAATAAAAACAGATTCCCGGTATTTCACGTATTTGGATTGTGAAAACCTGATTATGCCGTCCTGCAGGATGATAATCACTCAGTATTATCTTCTCTGTATTCTCTATAGGTTCACTTCCTGTATGCTGACCTGCTGAGTGCTGAGTGGAGAGTTTTCCAGAATTGGATTGAGTCAGAAACTCTGCAGAGTGTCCATCACATTGTATCCACAGTGCACCTGCAATGGGCCGGATTTGAGGTGGGCGGGACAAATGAGGAAGTGCTCCGCTATTGGTTCAGTGTCCTACAGGGTCTCCAAGCCTCTGGACTCCAGCTGGTCCACAGCTCTGCAGGAGAGAGAGGCAGTGTGCTCAAACAGACAGTTGAACATGTTCACAGCTCATACACACTGAGCTGGGCCAACACAAGGCGATGACACTGAATGAATGAACACAGGTGCACACACACACGACCGGACATTGTGGATGGCCCTCAAACAGGAAGGAGAAGGTCAATCCAAAAACTGTCGGTGTTGATGCCCTTATCTTACAAGGAACTTTTTCTATAACAGTTCTTAAGATGATGTGATCTCCCTCTAGTGGCGATGGAAACATCTGGCTTTGTGTGACTCCACCCGCAGTTGAAATACTGTTGTGTCTGTAGATAATGGAAACTATAATTTGATCAAATATTGAGGTAGCTACACATTGTCATTTATTTATTTTCAGAAGTGCGAGGTTTTCAATATCATGTTATACAGTGCACCACTTCATATGCAATACACAATCATTTTGATACTTGACTTGACTTTACTTTGAATGTATATTCAGCCGATAATGTAGATTCAGCTTTATTTAATGTATTTCTGTACATCTTTGTATGAGTGAAATGCTTTTTATGTGCAATAAATGTTTACATTGAAGATTGTATTGAGACAAGGTGTCTGATGAGTGTCTGTAAAATATACAAAGAAGAAAAGAAAGCTGTATAAATGTGCATTGATACAATAATAAAATATGAAATAAAGCCAGCAGTCCTTCATTTGTCTGTCCTTAGGGAATCCTTATCATCAAAATATAGAATATGCAAGTATACCAATATAATTATGATCTATGTGACATGTAAGCTGATTTTAGGTGCAGGTATGTGTTTATTTCCATTGAATTGTAAGAGTATTCATTTAGTTACTAAGTTTGCATTTTCCTTTAAACACTTACGATGTAATAAAATAAATACGAAGTGACTGAAATAATTTGCCTAATTCCAAAACAAATACGTCCAATATTTAGGTACCATGCCACAAGACAAGGCTATAATTACTTATTGCAGCATTTAAACAAATTGTGTCAATATCATTTACAACACGTTCCCATACTTTGATAAATGATTTAACCTTTTACTGGAGGCTTGATGGCCTCACATCCCATAAACTGTGTGCACTTCCAGTTTAAGCTGTGGTGAAGGATGCACTTAACACCAAACAAGAAAGGCTCACGGGACATTATTATTTGTCCTCATAAGTGGTTTTCTCCACAATGAGCTCTTGTGCATAACGGCCAATGCCAGTCATTCCTCGGACGCGTTCCAGCTCGCTGAAGCGCACGTAGGAATGTGTCTCTTCCCCACCCTTGGTTACGCAAATTACGGACAGATGTTGGCCACTTCTCCACTAATCAGGGTGGAGTTGCGCTTTTTGCGTTGACATTTCCACATCCTGTTCTCAGTGAAAACAAATGACAGGCGCAGTAGCCAATCAGCTTTGAGGATCTCAGTCCCTCATCCAATCAGAAGTTTTGAATCCCGGGACTTGAGGAATCTGTTTAGCTCGCCCATGTACTGTACCGCTTAATATTTCTTGTGGAAATCTTGAGACCGGATAACAACCATTGTATAGAGAGAGTCTACAGTTGCCAATTTTGACGGTAAGTAAATTATATTAAGTCGGTATTCTTCCCGTAAAGTGAGGGGGTTTGAACATACCTTTGTGTGGCTGTTTATTCGAGATAAGGAGCGCCTACAAGTTACTTCCTGCTCTGACAAGGCCGAGATCCCAAATTTTAGCCCATTTTAGCTAATGTTGTGGGCGTAAAAGTGAACCGTTTATGCCTGAATGGTTCTCTAGTAGCGGCTTTTCACAATAATGTGCATTGTTTTCATACAAGTTATTACATATATTTAAACATTTATAATTTCGGTTTGTGAATTTCATAGAGAATGACTGTACGTTACTGACACATTGACCGCACAGCGCGGAGCTGTATGTGTGGTACAGCTGTAACCAGTTCCACTTTATCATTAATAACTAGATTAACCTGACCTTAAACTAAAGCATTCTCGGGTTGAAAACACGCATGACAAAAGGGCTGTCAACCCAAAGCAACGTACAGATTTGAATACACCTAGTATTGCCATTTGCAGAGGTGGGAACTACATTAACTCAAGGTCTCTCTCTACTTAAGTCCAATTTTGAGGTACCATTTTATGCTACTTACTATACTTAACTTCTAGGTAAATAATGTCATTTTACGCCACTATGTTTTTTTAACAGCTTTAGCAAACATTTTCACAAAATGAATGTTTACAATTCAAGCTAGTGGACTAGGTAACTAAGTCACAAAAGAGTCAAATCATTTTAATATTTTACAAAAAGTCAATAAGTACTTAAAATACCTTTGGATTCTGACCAAATGCTACTTGATGCAACAATACTATCAAGAAATGTCACATATATTAATATAATTATATACACACATATAGGCCATTTTCCTGCACAATGATTACTTTGACTTTTTTATCATTTAAATAGATGTTGCTGATAATAATTGTGTACTTTTACTTAAGTAAGATTTTGAAAGCAGGATCTTTACTTATTTTGAGAATAAGGTAATGATGCTTTTACTCAAGTAAAGCATCTAAATACTTCTTCCACCACTGGCCATTTGTATCATGACCTCACTATTCTCTGTAGCCCCAGCATTAACATTAAACACTTGTAATTAGGGGAATAGGAAGCATAGCAGGGTATACTTACAGTAAGCTCAATTCTGTCTGCAGTCTGCATATTTCTGAGCACCTGTGGGAGTTGTCATTTTCTGAACAGATACCATGTAGCACTGTAGAGTTACTGCTTTGTGTGGGGAGTTTACTTTGTCACACACTGACTGTGATTTGTACGATATAATTATGAATATCGACACTGCTATACAGTAAGCCTAATGGTGTAGAAATCATACTGATATTACCATCGGCAACAATTGTATTTCTTTGTATGTTGACTTTTCTGGGTGGTGACACAAAAACTGGGTGTCAGCTGGATGTTTTCCGGGAGTAAGAGCGTGGCTTTTAGTTTTGCTTCTGCTTTAACTCTGTCTGGCTTGGGGTTTATTTATACATATGTGTCTTGGTCACGAGTGACTCATTTTGGGATATAAATAACAATTCTTATCACTATGAATCCATCTATTTTATCGTAAATCATGTTTTATTGAACCAACAAAAATAAAACAAAGTAGCAAATCGTTACATTTGAGATGCTGGGAACTGTCATGTTTGACACTTAATGGAAGGTGAATTGCTTGAAAATATGAATCGGATAAGCTCTAAAATATTTGAGATAAAGAGTTGGTATCAAAACTGCCTGTTATAGACGATGATATGTATATATATGCTGTCTTTAAGTCACTTTTGTGTTGTATGTCTTTCCTTCAAATGACCCACCTCCTCTTACCCACCAGGGTTGGGCCCCACTTCCCACAACACCCCACCATGCCTCTGGTAACGAGGAATATCGAGCCGCGGCATGTGTGTCGCCAGACCATCCCTGTCAACATCCGCAGTGAGCTGGAATGTGTCACCAATATCAGCTTGGCCAACATCATCCGCCAGCTGGGCAGCCTCAGTGAGTGTCTGCTGTGTGGGCTCGGTTGTCATTATGTCATTAAAATATGATCATTTCCACATGTTGCAAATGTGTATGACATGTGTTTATTTGCACGTGTTTTATTTGAATGTAGTTCTGAATATGCATTGATTGTGCTCGCGTAAAACCAATACTTCAAATGAACAATTATTCATATATCAATTACTCACTACTTGTTAGCTTGAATTATGGGAAACGTTTTTTTTTCTTGCAGGCCTCCAAGGTTAGAAAAATAAAAATATGTAAAAAAAATCTTGAATGACTTAAAGTAAATAGAGTGTGTGTAAATACAGCAAATCATCTGTTTACACACTCACTGCTTTTGAAGTATTGTTATTGTCCAACACTAACTAATGCAGTCATATTTACACTGCATCCCAAACACATGCATTTTGGTTTAAACCTTATTATTCAAAACACTTCTTCATCGTCCGACGTCCGCCTCAGGCTTACACAGCCGTGCTACTAGTTTGTGCGTAGACTGTTTCTGCAGAAGCATATGAGATAAAAAAAAGTGTTACTAATTCAAGGTTACATCGGCTAAGTATTTGATATACAAGGGATATTTTTCAAGGTGAAGGATTCCTTTAAGGAATGAAAAATAATGAAGCTATTTCTGTGTGTAGGTAAATATGCAGAGGATGTGTTCGGGGAGCTGTTTGTCCAGGCTGGAGCATTCGCAATCCGAGTCAATACACTGGGAGATCGAGTGGACCAACTGCAGGTTAAAGTCACCCAGCTGGACCCCAAAGAAGAGGAGGGTAAGGTCTCCCTCATGTTAATGCTACTTGTGTTACTGTTACTACTTCCTGTATATTACTGTCAGAGAAGTTCTTTATTTTGAATATGGTTAAATTAACATTTTCAGTGTATTTTTAAAACCAGTTTTACACGTCTCACGACAAAATACAATCTTGCCCTTGAGCAAAATGAATATAATGAACTCTCTATTTCCTCGTCTGTTTCTCTCTCAGTGTCTCTGCAGGCCATCACTACCCGTAAGGCCTTCCGCAGCAGTCTGACCCAGGACCAGCAGCTGTTCACCAGGCCGTCCCTGCCGATGCCGGTCCAGGACACCTACGAGACCTGTAATCCACCGCCACCTCTCAACTACCTCAGCCAATACCGGTGAGGCTCAGCAGACGCACAGACTCCCCTCCATGGCTCATATTCACTCACTGAATCAAGCATGGATCATGAAGAACACGTGCATGCACATGTGCACACATTGAAACACATTTGCATGCTACATGTTGGTCATGACTATACACTATGTATTCTCGCCTCTCTAATGCATATTCATCAAGGAACGGGAGGATCAGAACGTTTTTTTTTATGCTTGAGATTTTAATTCTCTTGGCTATAATTTATAAGTGTGTTAGAATGTTAAAGGGGATTTGTTTTGACCCAGGCCTTATGTAAAGGAACATATAATAAGTGCTATGCCAGTTCGTGTAACATGCAACAATCAAACATAATGAAACCAACCTAAACTCAGATAACGTTGATAGCAAAAGGACTATATATGTTACATTAAATATAAATATCCCTGCTTGTGATTATAATAAGTATACAGAATTAAAGTAGCACTAATAAAGTTCTGTTGGCAGAACATACGAGAAAAAACATGACATTTTTTACATTGAGATGTTTTATTAGCTTTGCACCTCTCGTGTGTATATTCTTTCTCTTACAAATAACCATATGTCGGAACCCAGCTGATTAATATTCTTGATATCTTGAATGTTAATTGTGCATGAGGAAGTACGATTAATTAGAAACCAGAAAATAAGGGGCTTTGGGTGTTAGAGGGTGAAGACTGTTTAATCAGTTAGCACAGCAGTGGCATCAACAATAAGTAGCGTGAGTGTAAGCTCTTCCAATGATGTAGCAAAGACTTGTTCTGTGAAGTTTTTTGAACATAAATTGTATTATTTTATTCTCTACATAATAGGGACATTTAATTTTCTGCATACTCATTGGTATGTGCGAAAAGAAAATGACCTTTTTATTTTTGAGCCAAAAAGAGGAAGTGTTGTGGTTTATAAATATATCGACACAAATATCTTTCAGCGGACACTCGTTTTATGCGTGCGGACGCAAGATA